CAACTTTATGGTTTCCAGTTGTTGCAATAAATATTTACAAGCCTAGTTTTATCCTCTTGAGCACAATAAGCACATTTGTTTTACAGTTTCTGGCTGATAACTGAACTTTCTGGGTTTCTTCGGTTTTGTTTTTCCTCTGGTTCTCAGTCATGGTATGTTATCTCATGCTTTTTTTTTTTTTTTTTAATATTTGTTTATTTTTACGTTCGGGTGAAGGGAGCTCTCAGCAGCTTGGCAGTTGCTGAAGATACCTGAGCCAGGTTGGACTCAATGCTTGAGACTCTGGCCATGGCCACATCTGCCACGCAGTGAGTGAGTCCTGGGCTTTGGGCAGCCAGCGTGCCAAGTGGTAGTAGGCTCTGCCTGCTGGCCCCCTGGCAGCAAGCTCTAGGGTTTTTGGGGTATGTAACTGATGCCTAGGGACATCCATGGGTAAGACCAATGTGTGTATAGGTGAGGAATGAATCCTGTGTGACTCCCAGTGATGGGGCCACTGAACTTGCAGGCAGATGTGGAGACTGAGAGCTGGTGGTTTGGAGGGGAGAGATTGGAAGATCTGTGTGGGTCAGACTGATTTACCAGCCCACATGGGAACCTGAGATGGGCTGTTAGTGCAGAACATCACTGACTGCCACACGCCAGCCCACACGAAAGGGTGGGGACCTGTCTGGCAGGACTAGATCCCAGTACCTGACTAAGTGTCAGAACAGGGATGGGTCACATTAGGCAGGGTCATGACACTAACTAACCAGCATGCGAGAGAACCAGGTCCAGGGATAGACTCTTCCAGGGGGTAAGTGGGCCCAACCCTGTGGAAATACAAGTCCTACTGGTTAGCTTAAGAGTTGGAGTGGCAATGGGCTGAGCTAGGAGTGACCATGGAACCCACCAACACTCACAGGTGCTGGGGCTGGAAACAGGCTGGACAAGTCTAAGCTGCAGTACCCACACATGCATCCTAAAACAGGTGTGAGGTAGGCCAGGCCGCAACATCCTTCAGCTCATATAAAGGCCAAGACAGAGTAGCAGGCTGTGCCAGGCAAGGGCCTAGCATCTGCTGGAGCATGTGAGATCTGGGTCAGGGAGTGGGCCAAATGGGGGAACCTGGGAAACTCCCCTACTGGGGTCACAGCTCCCGCTGGTGAGCACATGTTTCAGGTCTGGGTGTCGGGCAGCCTGAGTAGGATAACTTCAACTGTTGGCTAATGTGTGAGTTGGTTTTGGAGGGGGTGGATTAGGCAGGGCCAAGCCAACTTTACTTCATCAGCAAGAGCAGAAACCAGGCTGGAGCACAGGTCAAGCTCAGCTAGGCTGTCACATCTACCAGGTTACATGAACCTGGGATGGGAGCAGATGGATCAGGGCCAGGTTCCAGCACCTGCCAGCAAGTGGTGGGATTTGGGGTAGGCTGGGTCAGGCCAGGCTATAGCATCTAAAGGCAAGGGACTAGGCCAAGCTGAGTCAGAGCAACTGAAGAACCTAGGCATTTTCTGCCTTTTGTGATTCTGCCTCAATGACTTGGCTGGGAGCTGTGTGAACTCCAGGCCTGATAGTCTACGTGACACCTGGCAGGTCACTTGGCAGGTCACGTAGGCAGACCACTCCTCAGGAAGGAGGTACCTGGTGTTTGATAAGACTCACTGCCCAATAGCTCTTCGATTTGTACTTTTTGAAAGTTGCTGAAAGTTGCTTGTTTCAAACCCACCAATAGAAGCCTGCTAAATCATGACTGTATAATTAATAACCTGAAATGTATAAGAACTGGGGGGCTTGGGCTCTCTCTTCTGGTTCCTGCTTCTTTTTGTCCTCCCTGTGGGATCCTAGCAACCTCGGCTGTGGCTGCCCCTCCCCCAGCACAGAGGAGCCTGCAGAGGACACCTGGTAACACAACAGAGGAGAGAACAAATTGATCAACTACCCCAGCCAAGTGTTGGCAGTGAAAAATCTGGGCAAGTGGAGATGATAAAGTGGACTATGTCAGTCAGTGGCTTCTTTTTTTTTTCACATTTTATTATTATTGCTATCATTTTACAATACAGTTCCATATTCCCTTATCCCCTCCCCAATTCCCTCCCTCCCCCCTCCCCCCCCAGTCAGTGGCTTCTGAAGAGATTTCATTGTGCCTGGAATGGCGAGATCCGCAGCAATTCAGAACAGTTGAACTATCAGAACCACTTGAGCAGTGCCATTGGAGCATGCCCCACATCAGGGACCCTGGGATGGTTGGGAGGGTGGGTGTAGCTTCTCCCTTTGTCTCTCCCCTTACCACAGACACAGGAAGGAGAAAACACAATGTGGAAACAATGGTCTTACCCATTTTCCTGTAGCCCTTGACCCTTTGAGCCCTAATCAACTATGTAAAGATCATTAAAATAAAAAAAAATTAAAGATTTATTTATTTTTATTGGAAAGGCAGATATACAGAGAGGAGGAGAGACAGAGAAGATCTTCCATTCAATGGTTCACTCCCCATGCGGCTGCAACAGCTGGAGCTGAGCCAATCTGAAGCCAGGAGCCCAGAGCTTCTTCCAAGTGTCTGACGCGGGTGCAGGGTCCCAAGGCTTTGGGCCATCCTTGACTGCATTCCCAGGCCACAAGCAGGGAGATGGAAGGGAAGCGGGGCTGCCGGGATTAGACCTGGTGCCTATATGGGATCCCGGTGCGTTCAAGGGGACGACTTTGGCCACTGCACTATCACACCTTGTCACAGTATGTTATCTCATGTTTTTAGTTATCTTTGATTATGTGCTTAAAATTTACGCATGGAAATAACTTAAGGCTAAAGTGATAGCATCACTACCCTAAAAGGACTTTTGTTTCACACTGAGTTCAGGGTTTGGGAATTTGAGATTTTCCCAGTTGAGAGCTGGATTCACCCAGATGATTCAAAGCCAGACTGCTCTATGTCTGAATCATGATTCCTACTAGGAGCACCCCTTCTTGTTTTCAGCCCCAAGCAGGTGTGGTGCACCACGATCCACACCCTCTGTGGGTCCTGGGCTAACCCCAAAGGCCTGCCAAGCATGACGCAAAGTCCCTCTGGTGCACTTGGTGGAAGAGTAGCGGCGGCTTGGGTGCAGCAGTCTCAGGCTGATAGAACCAGCATCACATTTCGGCTATTTCCTGTTTTTATCCTGACAGGCTCACAGTTTGTTGTGGATTTTCAGTCTTCTTCATTGGAAGGATTGGCCCTTGTTACATGGTTTGCTGCTGTTGGAAACCTCTCCAAATTTTAATCTAAACTTTAAAGTGTTCCCTTTGCAATTTAAGTCTATTTATGTATAAACTGTGAGGGAGTGTTCTTACTTCATTTCTCCCATGTGGATAACACTTTTCCAACCAGTTAGTGAATGAAGTGCCTCTTTCCCTGGAATCTCAGATGCGCCCTGCACCAGGTCCATGACTGAAGGCTCTAACCACGGGCTCCAATCCTGTATGGGGCTGCACCTGTGTCCCTCCTCCTCACAGGTGGCTATCCTCACAGCAGTGGATGGTATGTGGAAGACAGTCTTTGAAAAGTGATTGGCAGTGGAGCCCTCCTGAAGGGGTGCATGCTCTCATAAGAGCCCCTCACCCATCCACCTTGTAAAGGCGTCATAAGAAGATCCTTACCCCAAGAATCCAGACTGAATTTGTAAGGAGTTATTCGAATATCCCACCCTGGACCTGGCACCATTTCCTCTTCCGCACAGCTCAGGAAATTCACGCCACTCTAGCCATCCACCAATCAGATGTAACCCGGCATTCCACCTGAGAATCCCACCCCCAATCTTCCAGCCCCTTCCCCAACCCTGCCCACTCACCAATCATCCCTAGGCATTCACCTGCAGGCACCAGTCCCCTGGGACCTTCCCTCAATCCCTCCCAATCCCACCCCCCACACCTTGCAGGCCTACCTGAACATAAGAGGCCCCAAGTGCCTCAATCTCCCCTTTTCTCCCTTTTTCCTCCCCACCGATCTCTACCAACTCCACCCCGTTCCTGCCCCACTGGAAAAAACCTCCTAAGATACTTCTTTGCATCTAGTATTTTCAGCTCATGGTAAAGAACCAGGTTGCGGGAATTAGCTACGCGTAATAATAGTAATATCATAAGAACTAGAACTCTAACCCTTTTTAAATAACTAACAGAATTTCAAGCTTCTGGCTGTCAGCTGGTTTAGCCTCAGCTATTGCCAGCATTTGGGAATGAATCAGAGAAGTTGAATTCATTCTCTCTCTCTCCCCCTCTTTCCCTTTGTCTTTCAAATACATAACAAATTAAGGGACTGGCACGGTGGCTCAACTGGTTAAACCTCCTCCTTCAAGTGCTGGATTCCTATATAAGCACCAGTTTGTGTCCTGGCTGCTCTAGTTCCAATCCAGCTCCCTATTTATGGCCTGGAAAAGCAGTGAAGGGTGATCCAAAGCCTTGGGATCTTGCACGCATGTGGGAGACCTAGAAGAAGCTCCTGGCTTCAGTTCGGCTCAGCTCTGGTCATTGTGGCCATATAAAACTGCCTTTCCAGTCAAAATAAGTCTTAAAAACAAACAAAAAACTTCCCTGTGGAGTCTTGTAGCGTCTCCTCCCATCAGCCTATGGAGCTCTTCAGTATCTGGAGATGTCAGCCTGTGACACCACCTGACAGCGAGCTGTGACATAGGAGCTAACTAAGCTGACAGGGTGTGGTTGCCAAGGCTGAGGACATGGTGCTGAGCAGTTCTGCAAGACACTGGAATGTCTGCCCCTATCATGTCCACCTGGAGGTAGTCGGGGTGCCTGTGGGGTGTACCCCCCCCTCCAGGCTGCAGAATCGCCATCACCTGGGGCACTTCCGGCCGCAGTGTCCCCCTACAAGACTTCCGCCTGCGAGACTTCCGGCGGCGCAGCGCCTTGGGGGGGGGGGCCCTTCAGACACCTGAGGCTCAGAGCTGGTGGCGTCCAGTGAGTCACCGCTCCAGAGAGGCGCTTATACCTTCATGGCAGTCTCCTACTTTGGTGTGGGCCAGTGCTGGGCCGCGATGCTGGGCTTGCTGCTGCTGATGATGAGGCACCCGGTCAGGATCTCAGCAAGGGACCAGGGACATCCCAAGGGTGCGCACAGCCCCTGGGTGGTGAAGGCTTAGGACCATGGGAGATGAATTCATGAGCAATGACGGGGTAGACCCTGGGAGATGAATCCCTGGGTGGTGGGTGTGGTGGGCTTCACCTAGGGTGTCCTCTACTCCATGTGCCTTCACCTCAGGCGTCCCCTCTCCTGCACTCTGTGCCCTGTCCCCTCCCAGCCTGCGGTCGGCGTGCAGTACAGGGTAAGGTGCTGGGCGGGACACCGGCCACAGAGTCCAGATGGCCCTGGCAGGTGAGCGTGCACTACGCTGGCTTCCACATCTGCGGAGGCTCCATCCTCAGCGAGTACTGGGTGCTGTCAGCTGCACACTGCTTCTACCGGTGAGGGCAACCACCTGCTCTGCATGGGGCCGAGGGGCGGGGCGGGTCCTTCACGTGAAGCGGGAGGAATGTGGGCTGGCTCTACCCTCCAGAAACCTCCCTCGACCCTGCAGGGAGAAGAACATCAAGACCTTTGACTTGTACGTGGGCCTCATCAACCTCCTGAGGGCCAACAACCACACCCAGTGGTTCGAGGTGAACCGGGTGATTCTGCACCCCACCTACCAGCTGAACCACCCTGTCGGAGCGGACGTGGCACTGGTGCAGCTGAAGTCCCGGATTGAATTCTCCGACTTTGTGCTCCCTGTCTGCCTCCCACCTGTGGGCCTGAACCTCAGCCGCCTCTCCTGCTGGGCCACAGGATGGGGGCTCATCTCCCAGCAAGGTCAGAGCAATCCAGAGGTCCCAAGACAGGTCACAGGAAGTCTAGCTAGGAGCTAGGAAAGATGAGCAGAGGTGACAGGCAGATTGACACAGTAAAAGGAAGAGGAAGTTCAAGGTGACTGAAGCCCCAAAAACTTAATTATACATATTATGAATAATTAGAAAAAAAAGTCCCTGGAGGGTCTGATAAATGTCTTTAATTTAAAAATTAAAATTCTGAATGATCTGGTTAATACACATTATACTTACAATACACACATTGAATTTTTCACGAAAACCAAGAAATGTTTACAAGTAAGAGATGATAGTTACAAACACATTTTTGGAAAAGAAGAAGCACAGAAGCCCAGTTTCCTCATAGAGGTTTGTGGGCAGGATAAAGGTGTGTTTTGCAGAAAAGACTGAACCCCAGCCCATCAATCAATGGGGACATTATCCCTGACTGCTTTGCTAAATGCTGAGCAATAATTACAGCTGCACTTGAGTGTGAAATCAACATGCATCAAAAACACTAATTTAAACACCTCATTCTCCTGAAGAGTTTACAATGACTTAGAAATCTTTCACCTTCACTATGTAAAACAGTTTCTGTGCTTTTCTGCGTGACTTCCTGTGCTTTTCTTCCCCCAAGGTTTATACAAGGATGCTTTAGAATACAAATATTAATGGATATTGAAATGAGATCTTACAAATTGCATTTGCTGATCAGTTGCAACTATTGATATTTGCATATTGATCTTACATGCAACCACTCTACTGAATTTGTTTTAATGATAAACTGATTTTGTTGATAATTTTAGATAAAAGATTATATTTTCTTCAAATAAAGGCTGCTTCATCACTTCCTTGCCTTATTTTCTCTTTTATTTATTTTTATTTTCTTATCGCAATAGTTGAAACCTCTAGTGGAAATGATACTAGCTCTCCTTTTCCTGCTTTTTTTTTTTTTTATTCAAAGTGCTCCTAATGATTTATTGTCAGCTTATGGCCTTACCTGGCGATTTCAGATTGATAAATTGCACCAGATTAAGAGAGTTACATTTTATAGTTTTTTGGTTTTTTTTTAAGATTTATTTTATTGCAAAGTCAGATATACAGAGAGGAGGAGAGACAGAGAGGAAGATCTTCCGTCCGACGATTCATTCCCCAAGTGACCGCAAAGGCCGGTGCTTTGCTGATCCAAAGCCAGGATCCAGGAACTTCCTCCTGGTCTCCCACGTGGGTGCAGGGTCCCAAGGCTTTGGGCCATCCCCGATTGCTTTCCTAGGCCACAAGCAGAGAGCTGGATGGGAAGTGGAGCTGTTGGGATTAGAACTGGCGCCCATATGGGATCCCAGTGCGTTCAAGGCGAGGACTTAAGCTGGTAGGCCACGCCGCCGGGCCCTATAGTTGGTTTAATTAACTAAAAATATATGTCCATATTGATTTTATTCAAACACTTATAGCAATTCCTCAGAGGATTACCTAATTTTCTCCTTTAATCTGTTGGTGCCAGGAATAGGTACTTAATGTGAATACCTTTGAGCTGTTAGGAAAAGTGCATTTGGGATTTCTGCAGTATTTAATAACCAGAATGTGAGTGTTTTTGTTTGGAACTTTGCCACATATGTGAGCTGAGTGTAAGAGTTTGTTGCTGACTCATCCCATTTCTTGTCAACGCGTTTGTGTAGAGTTGGATACTTTGCTGTTTGTGTTCTCTGGAAAGCAGAAAGGTTGGATTTGATCTGTCCATAAAGCACTCTGATCTGAGTGATAATGAACAGTACTGTGTTACTTTGTTATGGCTCTGGCTGTTCTCAATTTTAAAATTTGCTGTTGGGCCAATCTTGATAGATCACCTTTGTCAAAGTTGGGGTGCCATACCTGTATCACATGTGTTTTCATCAGCAGTGCACAGGAATTAGGGGTCCCTTTTGCTGGATATAGCATTTACACACTCATATTGGACATCAGTTTTACCAGATAAAGCATTCTGGGCTGTGTAATAGAGACTGTCATATCCAATGTGAGGATACAATGCAGTATGCATCTTTACTTCCAGATCACAGTTGGACTCCCAATGAAACTGTGAAATGTATCTTGACAATAAGATTCTGGATTCTCTGTCATTGTCCATGCCCACAATATTAGCAGAATAGTGGACTTCTGACTATGAAGAATATACTACTGTACTATATGGGAAATCAGTAGGGTGGGTAGAGGATTTGGGGAAGAGGTAAGGGAAATCCCAGAGCCTATGGAATTGTATCATAAAATCATAAAATAAATAAAGAATTCTAGGCTGCCTGTTTTCCTGGCAGTGCTCTGTTTTCTTCTGCCTGGACTTACTGTGAGAAGCCAGCTGCTAGCTCTAACCCTCTGCATGTATGTAACAGTCCTCTTCAGGATATCCCCTCAGCTCTTTTTTTCGCCTTTCTAATTCATTCTGACCTTCTTGAATCAGGGTTGTTGTCTTCAGTTCTGGAGATTTTGTGTTTCTTCTGCCTGGGCTCTTCCTTCTAGAACTAGTGCCTCTTGTGACATCCTGAATGCTGTGTTCTCCCTCCCCTCCACACTCTCTCTGAGTTCAGCTGGGATCAGTTCTGTGACCCATCTTTCAATTCCGTTGATCTGTCTCCTTAGCTGCACCAAGTCTTCTGATTTTTCTTACTTTTTTAATCTTTCCACTGTAATTATTTTTTAACTTCACGTTGTTTATCTTTTAGAAATTCCCTTTCTCCTGTCAATCATGGTTGCTTTAAAGGCCCTAGCAGACATAGCCGCACCTGAATCTCCCACAGGCTTGTCACTTGATAATAGATCCAGCATCCTGCTTGGGTGCTCCAATCCTGCCAGTTCCTGACATTGTGGGAGAATCTTTGGTAAAGTCTGCATTATGGCCCAGGTTGCTCATCAGTCGCTGAGCCAGCTTGGGTTGGTGCTGCTGTCTTGACCTTGACTGCATCAGATTGCTGTGTTTACTGGGAGGACCCTGCCTTGCCCTGAGTCTATAGGCTCTGTGTACCCAGGTCAGGCACTCTGGTTCCACGTCCAGTTTCAGCCTTAGTCTCAGACAAGGAGTATGTGCCCCAACTCTGAGAAGGAGTCTTCTACCTGCTCCTGTTTCTTCCTAATAGGGGCTCTAAAAGAAGTTCCATCCAGCCCTCTGCAAAGCTGACCTCTGGGGACTCAACTCCAGGAGAAGCAGAATGTGCTGGGCCCTGGGGACAGCCTTGCCAGTGGCTGAAAGTTTCTGCTTTCTCTGAGAAAAGCCACACCGTGGGTTTGGGTGGCAGAAAGAGTAGGCTGGCCATTACCCTCCCCCTCTGAGGGGGCTCTGTGGGCCCTTCACTGCCCCCAGAAAGAGTTGCCAGGAAGACTGTATCATCACTGTGATGTGGGACCAGCCCCTGTTGTCGCTACTACTCCCATATGTGGGTGCAGCCACTCCCTGTGGGTGCCCCTCCTGCTGAGTGCCAGGAGCAACCCTCGCCATCCACAGACAGTAGCCCTCATCCAGTTCCCTCTCCCAACAGGTCATTCCTCAGATGAACTGCAGGAGGTCCAGCTGCCTCTGATCCCAAGAACCCTGTGCCAGCTGCTCTACGGGCATCCATCCTACATCACGCAGGATATGCTGTGTGCTGGGGACATCTGGCACTTGAAGACAGTGTGTGAGGTGTGCTCCCACATGCGCAATAGAAGCTAAGGCCAGGTGGGAGTTCCTTGAAGTGTCTGTGTCCAGACAAGGAGGTCAGGGCAGTGCCTAGTGCCCTGGAGCCATGAATGTACCTCCTGCCTGCATCCTGGGAGGGACTGTGAGTGGGGACAGTGGGCCAGCCCCATATGTGGGGGTCAGGCTGCAGACTCCCAGCCTACAGAAAGCCCCACTCTTCCTTTGCAGGGAGACTCTGGGGGCCCACTGGTCTGTGAAGTCAATGAGACCTGGGTGCAGATTGGAATAGTAAGCTGGGGTCGTGGTTGTACCCAGCCCGTGTTCCCTGGAGTGTATGCCCGTGTCTCCCATTTCTCACGTTGGATTCGTTATAACATAGAAGTGACACCCAACCCTCCTCAGCCAACCCCTGCCCTTGCCCCTGCTTTTCCCTCTACTTCCAGTGTGCTGGTGGTTATGCTGGTCAGCCTGCCAGCTTTGTGAATACCAAGACTGCTCCTCCACCTGTAGGCTCTACCTGCCCCAACAGCACCTCACACCTTCAGCCAGGTGAGGGTCATCTGCTCAGTCCTGGGTGCCAGGTCTGAAAAAGAAAAGGAAAAGGAGAGTCCAGCATCTGGGGACTTTCCAGGAAAACAGGGGTGCAGAGAGCTCAGAGCCTAGGCCCTCTGTGTCTGCAATTCCATGAGATCATTAAATATTTACTATGAAAGCATCCCAGAGCACCTGCACTGTTTTTTTTCCACTCTGCAGTAGCTGTGGGCTGCACAGGCTGCCTCCCGTGTGTTTGCACATGGAATGGAGCATCTGTCCATCTTGCCTGACAGTCACAGCAGGAGCCAACAGCCTGAAAGGAGCAGTGTTATAACAGAATCATGGTCCTTTTGAAAAGTGAGTTGAAGTTTGCAAAGCTATAAGCTACATTTTTGCCTATGCATTTATCTGGCAGCAGACATGTGAATAGTTTCTGTTTTCTGATTTCTGGAGTGATGCCACGGTGAACACTGGCCCAGAGGCGAGTTTGATTCCTGGATGGCATGTGGGGTCTCAGGATGGAGCAGAGAGCTCCAGGAGCTCCTCACGTGGACATGCTCCCCCAGCAACCCACAGCTGAGAGCGCTCATCCCTGGGAGGACAACCAACACCTGGCATGCCAGTAACCCTGAGAACAATACATTGAAGACCTGGTGGGAAACCTAAAAAGTAAATGTAAAGGTAAAACGAGAACCAAAAAGTATGGGGGAAGATTTTTGCAGTCTTCTTACACAAACATTCAAAAGCACAAACCATCAATCAGAGTAGAGGGAGATAATTTATTTATGTATTTATATATTTATTTATTTATTGGAAAATCAGATATACAGAGGAGAGACAGAGAGGAAGATCTTCCGATCACTGGTTCAATCTCCAAGCAGTCACAACAGTCACTAAGCTAATCCAAAGCTAAACTGATTCAAGCCAGGAGCCAGAATCTTCCTCCAGTTCTTCCATGTGGATGCAGGGTCCCAACGTCTTGGGCTGTCCTTTACTGCTTTCCCAGGCCACAAACAGGGAGCTAGATGGGAAGCAGGGCTGCCAGGATACAAACTGGCACCCATATGGGATCCTGGTGTGTGCAAGCCAAGGACCTTAGCCACTAAGCTACTGTGCCAGCCTCCCCTCCCCCGCTTTTAAGATATATTTATTTACTTGAATTTATAGAGAAAAGGAGAGAGAGATAAAGAGGCAGTGGGGTCTTCCATCCACTGGTTCACTCATCAAATGGTCACAAAGGCTGCAGCTGAGTCGATCTGAAGCCAGAATCCAGGAGCTTCCTCCAGATCTCCCTTGTGGGTATAGAAGCCTAAGAAATTCCTCTGCTGCTCTCTTACTCTTTCAGACCATAAGCAGAGAGCTAGAATAAAGTGGGGCAGCTGGAACATGAACGGATGGCACAAGTAGGACCTGCTATGCCACTGTGCTGGGCCCCAGATATATTTATGTACAAGGAAAGGAAGGGAAGGGAAGGGAAAAGGGAAGGGAAAAGGGAAGGGAAAAGGGAAGGGAAAGGGAAGGGAAAAGGGAAGGGAAAAGGGAAGGGAAAAGGGAAGGGAAAAGGGAAGGGAAAAGGGAAGGGAAAAGGGAAGGGAAGGGAAGGGAAAAGGTAAGGGAAGGGAAGGGAAAAGGTAAGCTAAGGTAAGGGAGGGAGGGAAGGAAGGAAGGAAGGAAGGAAGGAAGGAAGGAAGGAAGAGAAAGGAAGAAAGAGGAAAGAAAGAAAGAAAGAAAAAGGAAAGAAAGAAAGAAAAAGAAAGAAATAGTATTCCATCTACTGGCTTATTCTAAAAATGGCTTCATCAGCCAGGGCTGGACCATACCAAATCCAGAAGCCTTGGATCTCTTCTGGGTCTCTCACAAACATGGCAGGGGTCCAAGCACTCGAGCCATCCTCTGTCACATCAGCAGGGAGCTGGATTAGAAGTGGAGCAGCTGGGACATGAACTAGTGCCACAGGTCATGTGCTATGCCACAATCCTGGCTCCTTTCTCAATTTCTTTCATTAATGTTTATAGTATCATCTGCAGAGATACTCCATTGATCAGGGCCCCACTTACCCAGCTGCCCCCCGAACTTTACTGAGATCCAGGCATATGAAGCACCAGCTCTAAATTCAGCTCAGAGTCAAGACTGATTTTGGAGGCAGGCATCCTTCGTGGCCACCCCGTTGGAAGTCGTTGTTAAAGAATAAGGCAGGGAGGGGCCCGGCGCGGTGGCGCAAGTGGTTAAAAGGTCCTCGCCTTGCACGCCCGGGATCCCATATGGGCGCCGGTTCTAATCCCGGCAGCCCTGCTTCCCTTCCAGCTCCCTGCCTGTGGCCTGGGAAAGCAGTCGAGGACGGCCCAAAGCTTTGGGAACCTGCACCCGTGTGGGAGACCCGGAAGAGGCTCCTGGCTTCGGATCGGCATAGTATCGGCCCGTTGCGCTCACTTGGGGAGTGAATCATCGGACGGAAGATCTTCCTCTCTGTCTCTCCTCTCTGTATATCCGCCTTTCCAATGAAAAAATAATAAAAATAAATCTTTAAAAAAAAAAAAAAAGAATAAGGCAGGGAGAACAGCTCTTTGGCAAATGAGGAAGGCACAGAGCTTTCTGGGTTTCAGGGTGTCAAGAGGAGACCTGATCAGGGGGCTACAACAGCCTCCTTTTCAAACTTCTTGCTTTGAGCTTAGTGAATGCTCTCCGTGGTTGCATGGTTTGGAAGTCCTACTGCAGGAGCCCTCCCAGGGAGTAGCATTGACCACTACATGAGAAGGCCAGATGCTATGCATGCCCTTTTGGAGTCCAGTGAGAGGAGATGCCACATAAAGATCTGCAGGATCTTGAGGTGTCCCTTAGCCTGGCCCTATCTGACATCCTAGGAGCTGGGCCCTGGCAGACAGCTCCTGAAGCTTTTGCACTTTCCCAAGTGTTGAAGTCTTTGTGTACTAATGAATCAGCTGATGGGCCACAGCTTCAGGAAGGGGCTGGTTACCCAGAAAGATCCAGAATTAGGTGGGGGCTTCACCCCACTGGCAACCTCTGCAGAGAGGGGAGGGCTGAGGGCTGAGTTGATCACCCATGACCACAAGTTCACGAGCCACACCCATGTCACGTGGAATTTTCTGCCACTGGTGCCCACAGAGGGCACAGACCCTCAACACCCTCCCCCACAGCTCATCAACAGCACCTCGTCTGCAGTCTTTGCGCCATTCTTTGTCATAGACTAGCATTTGCTAGTGAATGCTTCCGTGGTTCTGAGAGCCCCAACTAGAGAAGGGCTTGCCAGTTGGAAGCACAGGGCACCAGCGGGGGTGGGGGAGGGACTGTGATTGACAGCTCAAGGGGGAGGCAGGGGCAGGCACTAGGATGCAGAGTTGTTGCGTGAGACACTGGCATCCCATTCAAGGCTGGTTCAGTTCCAGCTGCTTCACTTCCAATCAGTTCCCTGTCAATGTACCTCTCTTTGACTCTGCCTCTCAAGTAAACAAAATATATATTTTTTACAAAATGGAGGCAATCCAGGGAACCAAGCCCTCCACCTGTGTCACCTGATGCTATCTCCCTGTGGACACTACCAGAGCAAAGTTGAGTGGCAGGACTCACAACCAATGTCTGTCGTAGACTGGTGCTTGCTGGTGGGGAGAAACACCTGAACACATCGTCATAGCACCTCATGCACTGCTTGCTGTGGTCTGAGGCTGAGGAGACCAGCTTGTTTCTTCTGCAGAAGCAGGCACTGGGACTTCTGCTTAGCCACTTGCATCTTCGACTTGGCCTGCTTTTCTGAATTTTCTGACCAACTTGCAAGGTCACGTTGTATCTTCTAGACAGTAATTTGCTTCATATTCAAAGTAATTTACAATTTAGTTCCTATTTCTTATACTCTTTCTGTTGGAAAATGCTGCCCTTGGCTCTTTCTTGGGAAGATGTATAACTCGCTGCAGTTAAAGACTGCCCTCCGGGCCCGGCATGGTAGGCCTAGTGGCTAAAGTCTTTCCCTTACACGTGCCAGGATCCCATGTACGTGCCACTTCATGTTCCGTCTGCTCCACTTCCCATACAGCTCCCTGTTTGTGTCGCAGTCAAGGATGGTCCAAGACCTGCATCCACGCGGGAGACTTGGAAGAAGTTCCTGGATCCTGACTCCTGGCTTCAGATTGGCTCAGTTCCTGCTGTTGCGGCCACTTGGGGAATGAATTAGTGGACAGAAGAACTTCCTCTCTGTTTCTCCTCCTCTCTGTGTATCTGAATTTGCAACAAAAATAAATAAATCTTGAAAAAGGAAAGGAATTGAGGCAGACATACCCTCCCCTGTTCTCCTGGGCTTGGGGTATGGTCTGCAGAGGCATGATAAGGCCCCCAGTTTGGGAAGCCTGAGACCAACCCATGTGCAGCCCCGGTCCTGGTCATTCCTGCATCCCTGCTGGCCTCCAAATCTTCACTAAAGAAAGAGTCTGTGCAGCCACATGGGGGCGGGTCAGCCTCCCTGCAGAGAGTTCTCTGCGGCTGCTCTTGCTGCTGCTGCCAAGGCATTAGCCAGGCTGACCCACAGACATGTGGGCTGGGATCTCAGCATAATGCCCAAAACAGGCCCTCCTGGAAATATGCTGACAAGTTGGATGGGAAATACAATGAGATAAGGGGGCTAAGGACAGCAGGTGGGAGCGTGTCAGGAAGGGACAGGCCTTGACTTTCAACAGCACCTAACAAGATATCCAGCCCATGCATAGTGGAGCTGGTTGGATTGAACTAGGCTTCAATGCCCATTTACATGTGTGAGAGCTGAATGGGAGGTGGGACAGACAGGACTAGTCTGCTACACATACTGGCAAGCACGGGAGCTAGGACAGGGGGCAGGCCTGGTGGGGGTTATTGTGGGTCGCTCCGACTAGGCTGAAGCTCCCACTGGTTTATGTGAGGGCCAACCAGGCTGGGCTGCAACACCCATTGGTTCCAGTGGAAGACAGGGCTGGA